TTTTTCTCATTAGAGTTCATCTTGCGCATTTACAAATCTACAATTCACCCGTGCATTGAATACTGCTGCCATATCTAGCCTGGTGCTCCTGCTATTCATCTCAAGGTTGTTGACAAAATCCAAAAAAGGATCTACAGTGTAATCGATCACGACTTAAATCATTTTCTCACCGACGAGGCGTGGTTTGTCTCTGTCTTTCCTACAAATATTTTCATGACATCTGCTCTGACAAGCTTTTTTCCCTAGTTCTTCGACTACATGAACTTAAGCGTACTACTAGATTGTCAACTAGGTCCCACCCGTTTAATGTTGAAATAGTTAAATGCAATCGTCACTTCTACTCCAGTTTCTTTTCTCATACTTCCTGCTTATGGAACTCCCTTCCGTTTACTTGCTTCCTTGATAACGACAATGTTCAAGAATTTAAAGCCAACGGAAATTACCCGTTCCTCAATAATCCCTTTATTCAGTCTTCTATTTCCCTATCACTCCCTGTAACCCTCTGCTTACTTGTGACATTCCCGTTTATCTATTGTCCTTTCCTCAATCTTCTCTGTCTCAGTCTTCTCTTTCACTTTTACGCCCTGTAACCCTCTGTGTACTAGTGGCATTCACGCCTTTCTTGGGTGAAATGATTAAAAAAAAAAGTAAATATATTTTTAATGTTTTTATATTAAATTTTACCTGTAATATCACGCGGCACAAAAAACTGCTGGTTTGTAATAATTTCCCTATTAACTAATATAGAAGTATATTTTTTCATGAACAAATAATAAATGTTTTTCCCTAACTCTTTTGGTTCAGGAAAACTAGAGTGTTTCTTCGATTTTACTCCCGTTCTTCCTTCATTTGGGGCGTGCCCTGTAGAAAGACACTGATCGCAGGGCTTCTGAATCCTCTCCTATCCCTGCTAATCATTACATCAAGTAGAAAGATTCAATTCTTGTAAGTAACAAGAAATATTGGCTTTAGTCCAAGTTAAAGTCCCCGAGGATCCAATGCGCTGATTAACGGCTCTTGCGTCCCCAGGAGGCTGTCGGGTCAGATGCGAAGCTGCAATCGACGGCGAAAGAATATCTTAACATTAATTGCCTTCCTTAACTAAAAAGGTCAGCAGAGGTCATAGAGCTAGTTATTGGCATTGCCGAAAAAGCCGGGTCAATATGATGTTGTCAAGCGAATTGAGAAGGATCCGTTTCTCGTCTCTTAAACAATTTGATCAAAAAGTAAATTTTAAGAGTAAATACTTGGTTTGTGCCTAATGGTTGCAGTGACTTCCTTTTCTAAAAAAAAAAAAAAAGGTGTTTTTTGGGGGGTGGGATTCAGCTTTGCTATTTTTCACCCACTGCCTGACCTAAGGTCTATTCAAGTTAGAGTCTTACAAAACAAAGTTGCTGCCCAGGAATCAAAACCATCGATCTTACCCTTGAATTGGAAATATCATGCCTGATCTGCCGACCCGGTCACCGAGACAAGCTCTCTCGTTTAGGGGAACAAAAACGTGATCATACAGAATGATACTGAGAATGCCATCAACCGAAATTTTTAGCAACGATGAAGTTTTAAAAAAAAACTAAAAAAAAAAGGACTCTTATTTACATCATTCGGACTATTGTCCTCATCTTTGTCGCCATATGTATCACAACGTTTCGGCCGTTGTACGCTCCGGCCTTCTTCAGGTGGTTGGAATTTCGAACTGAACCCTTTATTTTGCTCACTGGGGTAGACTGTTCTAGTTCTACATGCCATGTTTGATGGATGTCAGTTATCAGTTATCTCCTGCTAATTTCCCTCTGAAAGTTCTCCACTGCCTTAACCGGTTATTGAACTCACACTCTTTGGGTCCTGTCACTGGATCTAACCAACGCCTCAGGACACATGGCACAGTGGATAAAGGCGTTGGTTAGATCCAGTGACAGGACCCAAAGAGTGTGAGTTCAATACACGACAGGTAAAATTTCTAGGACACATCACGAGGAAAGAGGACTTAGAAAATTTAACACTCACAATGTTAAAAGTAAGAGGGACAGTGTGTAAATGGATGGCAGAACAAGGTTTAGGAAAGATAGCAAAAAGCCCAAATTTGCTAAGAGTTACAAATGACCGAATGTTGTGGAGAGCCATGATCGCTAATGTCCTGAAAGGACATGGCACGTAGAAGAAAAGAGCCATTAAGAGGAGACGGTGTCACAAATGCTGTTCGGAGATGAGCTGACATCTCCTACCTTCTTTGATCTGACATCACTTACTCCCAATATTGCAACCGTGAAATAATATTGTTTTCAGATTAAATCTTGTCAGTATTTCGTGATTCAAATCATCATCCTCATCTTTACCGTTTTGACAATCGTGCATATGCCTTCTTTGGGATTCATAATGTCTGAAGTTCTTCAATGAGATGCTATCAGTCTAGTTCCCATTTGATTATCCTCGATTAAAAATCAGAAAGATTCTAAGCGTTAAGCAAACCTTTTGATTCCGTTTAAAAGAAAATGGAAACGAAAAAGAAAGCTTATATCTAGAATCAAAAAAGACAACTGAAATTTCTAGGAAACAACGAAAAAAGAGGCTTGGAGAATTTGACACTTACATGACATAACAAAGCCGAGAGAAACAGAAAGAAATATCAAGTAATCTACCTAACAAGTTTGTGTCAATGGATGGCAGGACAGGGAGAGTGATGAAAAGACAGATCTTCCTGAGAGATACAAATGTTAGGAAGTTGTGAGTCATGATCACCCACGCCCAGAAATGACAGAAGACAAAGAAAAAGGTTGTTTAGAACAATGTCTTTCCACCAGTAGGCACGCCAAAATGCCTATAGTTGTTTTTCGTCCTGTGTATGACGATAAACTACAGCAAGGACTCTGGCCTTTGAGAAGTGTGGAACCACCTCTTAATTGCTCTCTGTAACCCCCTGACCTGAGGTCAAATAACGATGAAAATATAAAAAATTTATAGTAAAAATAGCAGCATAGTAAAGTACCAACATCGCATTTTCGTAGTAAAAAACAGGCTAGTAATAGATTTTTGTAAATAAAATTGCTAATGCTTCCAAGGAAATTAAATTTCGACATTAAATGACCCATAAGGAGTTGATGTGCTGCTAAACAAAACATAAATGTTTGTATCTTTTATTATTACGAATTGTGTACATGTTGCTATATAATATATTCAGTTTAAATACAAAAGGAATCATAAAAATCAATTGTTACAAAGGACTTCACATTTCGGTGTATTTTCTTTTCAGGTTGCCCAGGATTTTTGTCAGACAGAAAGGGAAATTAGCTCTCGTAAACACGGGTACCCCTTTCCTTTTGTATATTTTAATTTTTGTCTCATGATATCTTATTTTAATACTTAGGCCATTGTAGAGGCAGTCCAGACTCAGTGACAGAGTAATATTTTATTTCAGTGTCATATTTTACAACCAATCAAGTTGAGTGTACGTGTTTGTGCGTGTCATGAAACTTCGAATGGACCCCAAAACATACTAACGTTTGTCTAACAAGTCGAATGCATAAAATCAAACAACAAATACCGGAATTTCTTTCTTCTTTTTCCCCATATGTCATTCTTTGATGAAGCTTTAATAAAAGTGAAACATGTCAAATTTGTTCTTCATCTTACCATTTTTTCGAATTTGGATTCATATTTGATTTGCATTTGATCTCAACTCGTATTTTTCATAGAAAATGAAAAGAAATGGCCTATACTTAAACTGCATCTTACACACATTATTAGCGACATGATTTAATATTTTATCGCTATATAGAAGAAATACTTTTTTGGAATATAATGGTTTAGTTGCATAACAACGTCAACATCTATCTGCGCAGTTCAGATATAGGCAGGTTCGTTCTCCGCACGCGGCGGCATTTTATATGAAATGCTCTGAATTTTGAAATCTCAACTGAATAGCCACCTTGCGAATTTGAAGTTGTAAAATTAGTCGTAAATCTGATTTGAAATATAAGATCTATGACCCCAAACTTATATTTAGAAAATCGGAATAAAAACTTCAATTCATATCAGACCATCAAAGAAGCCAAGTGTATCAGATATTTGACATGGGGTCAGTCCCAGACCCCCAATAGAGAGCAACATGAATTTACGCTTGTATTCGCTCTGCAGACGGAGAACATAACGATTATGTTGCCGCTGAAGTTTTAACGGGGCTGCACACGACAAACTGGCCGAGATTAACTGATAAAGTCAGAAGTTGAATAAAATGTAAAGGCAAATAATGATGTCTCAAGTCATTTATCCGCCCCACTCTCTTCATTACAATAATGGCAAAATATTGTGTCACATATGTATTGCCAAAGCTAAATTCCTGGTTGAAACAGGAGAGATTACAGAGTGCGGACGAGATTAAGGAGAACGTAACGAGTCTGCGATTATCGAAAAATAGGATTTGCAAGCTGTAAAGTGGAAAGTACATAGGGATAAGTATGATTGATTTAATTAACAATGTTTGAAGTGGAAAAAGGATAAACTATTTTCGCTAATCGCATCATAGCAGTAACTTAATCTCAACAATTCATCAATTTTTATGCAGTAGTCTTTCCAGCCTGCTATAATCTGCAAAAATTTAAATGCAATGTCAATCCCTATCTACTGTCCTCCTGTTTACTCTTTCCTCTTTCCGTTCATTATTAATTTTTCTGTTCCTAATTCTTCCACATCCTGTTACCATTTGTGTCTTAGAGGCTTTACTGCCTTTCTTGTGGAACTCCCTTCGGGCTCCATGCTTTCCAAACAACCTGAAAAACTTTAAATGCGATGTCAATCTCTATCTGCTGTTCTCCTGTTTACTCTTTCCTCTTCCCGCTCATTATTAATGTTTCTGTTGCTAATTCTTCCACACACTGTAAACCCTTATGTCTTAGTGGCTTTATTGTCTTGCATGGAGTGATACCGATTAAAAAAATTCAGTTTTTGATAAAACTTTCTTAGTGATAAAAAACTAGACCTCTAAATGAAATCTTCATAATTACCTGTTAGGTGAATCCGGGTCCAGACAGGTGCTATTGGCCGACTTGAAAGCGCTTTGGCAGCAGTCACCTTTATCCCATTCATAATAAGCTCGGTTACATTCGAAATCACATCGTCCGTTTCCTAAGTTGACAGCATCGCACGGTATTTCGTCCGGATCGCAGTCTCCGCCATCGTTTCCCGTCTGGGTATGTTGGCACTCCCGATTGCAGTGTTTGTCCCCTATTTGCATGGGAAGACAGTCAAGCAATACTGTCTTATGCCTGAGACTTGTGTTTCGCAATTTCACCTCTTCCAATTCCCAACTGATGTTATACTGTTTAAAAGTGGACACAAGCGCTCGATGTTGACTAACTGTCTGAATTTTAGTAACCTTCGGATTTTGTTCATTGTCGTCCATGACATTTACAATTCGATACCTGACCTTCTTCTCTTGGCGGAGCTCACGGTGTTGGACATAACTGCGGATAACATCCGGGTCATCGCACACGGTCTTGCCGCATGGTGGCGCCACCAATTGAAGGTCGTAACGATAGTCTTCAATGTTTGAAAAGTGAAGTTCAGGTTCGCCTTTCAGAAAAGATTTCCACTGGCTTAGATCGTCGAAACTTTCTTTAAAGACAATTCCTTTTTCTCTTTCCATGCTGATGCGAGCATCAAACATGTTTTGGGCAACATCTCCGTGTTTTAAAGGGAAATTCCAAACTAGTATTTGATCCACCGACCCTCGATACAGGTTTTCTTTTGAGTATGGCGTTCCACCCAGGAAGATTTCTTTACAACTGCAAAGAAAAAAAGGGATTTAAAATGAAAGGAAAAAATAACAACGTAGAAATTTTCAGCAAAGAAAGAAGTCAAGGTTTCAGGCATTAAATCTTTTTTCTACATCTCAGAGAATGCGTGTTGATTTCTATACCTCAGACAATGAGTGTTTATTTCTACATCTCAGACAATACACGCTTATTTCTACTTATTTTTAAGGAAATTCACCCCAAGCAAGGCGGGAGTGCCACTAGCACGCACGGGACTACAGAGGATTGAGAACAACAGTAAAGCGGCGTGTTTGAGGAAGGGATACAGAGAAGGACGGGGAACAAGCTCAAGGTGTCAGATGTCGATTGACATTACACTTGAATAGTTGAAGATTATAGTCATCGAGGAAGCAAGTAAGGGGAAGGGAGTTTCACAGACGGGAAGTGCGGGAGAAGAAGCTGTTTGAGTAGAAGAGACGGTTACATTTAACCGTTTTGACAGTGAAAGGGTGGGACCGAGATGACAGTCTGATAGCACGTTTAAATTCATGAAGTCCGGGAACCTGCGACAATCGGAAAAGTTGCCGTGAAAATATTTGTACAAGAGACAGAGGGAGGCAACAGCACATATCTGACATTAAGTGTTTATTTCTACATCTCAGATGATAGTGTTTATTTCCACTTCTCGGACATTACGTGTTTCTTTCCTTGTCTCAGACTAAACGTGTTTATTTGTACCTTTCAGACAATGGATGTTTATTTACTCATCTCAGACATTACGTTTTTATTTCCTATTTTCAGACGTTAGATGTCTATTTCACGCTATCAGACATTACGTGTTTATTTGCACATTTCAAACATTACATGTTTATTTCAACATATCTTATACTACGTGTTTACCTTTTCTCATGTACAATGTGTTTATTTCTATATCTCTGATATTACGTGCTTAATTCATTATATCAGATAGTTTTCTTGATCCTTGGGTAGGGTCTATATTCTTCTTGTGGAATCCTTAGTTTAATATAAACAATACTAATATCAAATCCTGAGTAATGAGTTCGATCTTCTCTGAAACCTGAAATAATGTTGATTCTGTTCCAGAAATCTGCAAGATTTGTCAATATCTGCACAATATAAAATAAATTTCTTTTCATTGGCATTATATCTGGGATTTCTATCATATACATGACATTAATACTGCTAAAATGTTTGAGAAAAATAGAAACAAAAACTTGTTTCTCACACAAAGTGTAAATCGGCCATTATTTCAACGTATTAAATTACGAGTAATTAATGTAGTCCAGTATATCGGGTGTAGTATTTATTTCTTAGTTCGTTCTTTTATCAGTTTAAAGATTACATAGGAAATTACACAGTAAATTTTGGCAGAAAGAAAACGAACAATAATGACGGTTCCTTTATTAAGCTACTTTAGGTGGGAGCTTTTCTCTCAGAGCTGTTCAATGATTTTAATACTACACCATTAATTATTGCATTCATCTCAGTGATTTTCAATAATCAACATTATATAATTATTATCATTGTGTATTTATTTATATCTTTCGTGTCACACTCTGTACAACTCTTTCATCAGGTCACAGTCAATCATTTTCTCATGTTGATGCCTATTTACCAGTCTCATTGTTTATTGATGGACTGTTGTATGTAGCGTTCACCAGGACAAAAATAAAAACATCAAAATAAGCATCTAAAATAAACACAACCAAGGCAAACAAAGGCATTCACGTAGTGATAAAGGAATTAACTGTCACTGATAATTGACATTAATATTTGTGATGTTGACATAAACACGTAATATTTGAGATGAGGACGTAAACACGGAATATTTGAGACGAGGACATAAACACGTAATGTTTGAGAAGAGGACATAAACACGTAATATTTGAGATGAGAACAGAGACGTAATATTTGAGATGATGAAATAAATATGTAATATTTGAGATGAGAACATCAACACATAATATTTGAGATGAGGATATAAACACGTAATATTTAAGATGAGGACGTAAACACGGAATATTTGAGATGAGGACATAAACATGTAATATTTGAAATGAGGACAAACACGTAATATTTGAGATGATGAAATAAACACGTAATGTTTGAGATGAGGACATAAACACGTAATATTTGAGAAGAGGACATTAACATGTAATATTTGAGATGAGGACATAAACACGTAATATTTGAGAAGAGGACATAAACACGTAATATTTGAGATGAGGACATAAACACGTAATATTTGAGATGAGGACATAAACACGTAATATCTGAGATGAGGACATAAACACGTAATATCTGAGATGAGGACATAAACACGTAATATCTGAGATGAGGACATAAACACGTAATATCTGAGATGAGGACATAAACACGTAATATCTGAGACGAAATGCTAAATATCTGTTGATGGTGAAATCTTTACGTTTATTTCTTGCTACGCCCTGTAGTCACCGCTAATTATTTCCAAAGAGACACCGTATTCTGTTAAAGTGCCGCACTTTGTAAAGAGCTTATTTCAATTTACTTGCATTAAACATTCTCTCCACCCCCCTCTCTCTCTCCCTCCCTCTCTCCCTCCCTTTAATTTCCCCCCTTAATTCTTTGTCTCCTTCTCTTCTATCTCGCTTTTCCCAACTTCTTCCCGCTGAATATTGTTACGTAAGGTTCTTGGTCAGAAAGTGAAACTGGTTCTATCTGAATAAAAATCCCATTGATCGGAAAGATACTACACTTTGATCTTCGCTAGAAAAAACCTAATGGTAATACTTGTTTAAGCAGAATAATAGGTAAAATAATTATATTCGGGTTTATATGAAAGCGGGCAATATTGGATAACCGTGCTGCTTTTAATTCTCCGAATAGAAAGCAATTCATTTATAATTGATAATGTCCGAATATTCCTTTTAGATTAACGGAATTGTAAAAAAAAAAAAAAATGGGTAAAAAGTTACTTTTGGAGATCTTGTGCTTAATCTTTCATAATATTGATCAGCTCATAAAATGGTTGGGCTACATGGTTTAAAATATTGTCTTCCTTGCTACAAATATTTGCCATACCGAAATCGACATTTTATGAGTCTCTCGTTAAAATAAATTAATCTTCATCTGTCCAAATTCGTTTTATGGCTGAAGTATTTTTTTTTAAATGTGTAGATAGCTGAAATGTGGTTATTAATTTGTCTTTTTCTTTTATTTTTAAACATCATCGTCATCATCAGCATTATTAGAAAAGTTTTGTTTTATCTATTTCATTTGTTATTATCTTTTCAAATAATATTTTTACGCTTCTTCAGGGAGGATTGAGTCTCCCAATATTTATTATTACTTGATTTCCACCAATGCACGTATGTGCGGCTGATGGCGTTGTTTGCAGCTCCGAATGAAAAATAGGAGAACCGATTTCGAAATCTAATCGAGTTCATTGCATTCACTTACGCGCAAATAACATTGAGAAAGGTATGAATCCATCCATTCTCTCCTTCCCCTTAAATATTAGTGTTGACTTGGCTTTGCAGCCGTGGTTGGTAACCCGTCTAGGGGTAGGATTTAAAATGCTTGCAACTCTATCCCGTCAAAACCTACTAATTGCTATGGAAACCGCAACAATAATTCCTAGCGTGCTGACTGCTGTTGCTCCATATTCCCTAAGTAGTCTAAAGGACTTGTGTGGGTGTGAAGGCTCGAAAGCCACTCAGAGTAGAGAGTTACAGTAGAAATGGTAATGATGAATGAATGGAATGATATAAATGGAAGAGAACATGGTAGGATGTGTGGATAAGGAGCATAGATAACGATTCACCTTTGATTGAAAGAAAGTCATGATTAAAATGCTCATGGAACAGTCTTTGCGAGAGTTTACACTTGGGCAACAAGTTTTCTATCTGACAAAAATATTTGATGTAAATATTATGCACATGTTGTAATTCGAAAGATATTACAGATTATAAAATTGTTTTTTTTTAAGTTGATAAGAACCCGATGAAAACTTAAATAAATGTTAAATCAAGGTTAAATTTAGCTGCTACAAATCCTAAAAGTCAGTGCGTATTATATGCGAGATCTTTTTCTAGATAGAACCGCGTATTATACACAAGTGATTATCGAATAGATGATGGATTAAATGGCAAAATGGATAGTGGTGCGTTTAACTATTTTATAATGTGGCTTAGACTAAATTTAGATCTAAATACTACTGATTTTCTGTAGGTAATATATATATATATATATATATATATATATATATATATATATATATATATATATATATATATATATATATATATATATAATGGGATATATATATATGAACCTAAAGAGCCAGACGCAAACCTACCTATACTAAAAATTTACATGGATCATAAGGGTATTTACACCATTGTACCCTGACAATCCACATAGGTGAAACCAAGGTAGGTACCTCTGTTGCGGTTCATAGTTAGATTAACTCTACTTAGTGTATTGAGCACTTTGCTTATTATTTTTACTTTTACTTGTGTCGGAGGTTTTTTTTTCTTTGGACTCTGAGCTGGATTCTTTCGACGATTTTCTCCCCCTGAATTACATGTTCTTAGTTCGTTCTTTTTTATTCCTTATTTTCCTTGGGTATTGGTCTGTTCATTTACAAGCCAAAATACCTAAGATTTTTCCAAACAGGTATAACAATATATATTTATAATATTATATATATATATATATATAGAGAAATATATTAGAAGAAGAAAAAATGATCAATCACACCTCTAGAAAAATGTTTAAATTTTGGATTCCTGTGTCGTTCAGAACAATTAAAGGTTTTTATCCATCTTTTCCATTTACAAATCTACCATTCGTCCGTGAATTGACGGTTGCCATATCTGATCTGTAGATACTTTTACATCTTATGATTTTTGACAAAACCAGATATCTGTAACTTTTCGATCCTCCACCTTCCCACCTACGTCCACCTTTCCCCTGTCTTTCTACATATATTTTCATGGAATCAAAAAATCTTTCAACCTTTTTCC